GTGCGGGTGAGGAGGCTTTTCGCGGGAGAGACGGTGGTTTCTTCGGAGCCGCAGCCCATTGCGTTTTGAGAAAGCATGCAGGTTTCGCTTCGTGGTAATGTTCTAATCTTACAGTATATATTTTTTTTTTCAACCAGTTCTCCTTTTTTTTCCCCTCTTCATTTTTTTTTTTTAATCCCTTCTTCTCGCTTTTAATTTTTTTTTTCCCCAGTCCGGATTTGGTGAATAAAAATGAAGGAGTTTTGACTAGTCTCTCTTTCATCATGTAATGTCTTTAGTTCATTAAACAAGTAAAAACGGCTGCCATGGTAGATTCAGGTTCTTCTTGTGGGCAAAGTCTGTAGAAAGTTTGTTTTGACGTATACTCCACAGAGAAAGAGGCTGGTGCCTTGGAGTCCAAAGGAAAATATCCTAAAGAGAAGTGTCTTCTGTGCGCCAGAATGAAAATTGTGTCTTTCTGTTCAAGATCAACCGCTGAGGTTACTTTAAAAAATAAAATAAAATAAAATAAAGCCACTCTGTCTCTTTGCCGCATCTACAAGTTCACACAGAGCCTGTTAGCTGGCACGGCTTGGCAAAGCAGGGGAACTTCTTGCCATGTCGAGACGAGGCGTTCTCGGGAGATTATTTCTCTTGGACAATTCACATCATTTGTGGTCTCTGCATTGTGTCTTGATGTGGAGAAGAATACCAGTGAGAATAGCCAGGCATGTAGCTGTTGGGAGGCATATTGACTCCCTTGGCAGAGGCTGAAACGTCCCAGACCGGAGGCAGAGCCGGAGAGCGAGGGGAGAGGGCAGCGGAGCCGGGCAGAGGGTCGCTCTCGTGGGGGTTGCTCCCCTGCTTCAGCAGCTTCTTGAACTTGGAGCGCTTGTTCTGAAACCAGATCTTCACCTGCAAATCGAAACGCAGCAGATATTAGGCTGCCGTCAGCACCTAGGGTACGGCAGGGGAGACCCCGGGTGCCGGGGGTTTGCTCTAGAGAAGGTCGTGAGAGCCCACGCCAGTGGGGTGTGGAGCCGGGAATGGGGAGAGGGGAAGGAGGGGTAGCCGCTCCTGCTCTCGGGCTCCGGTTGCAGCTGGAGAGAAGAGGAGAGGCAGAGCGGAGCTGGAAAGCGAGAGGGATGTAGGTTTTAACCTGGAACATTATTGTCCCTGGGCAGGCCAGATAGATCGAGCTGAAACAGAGCACATGCTCTTGAGCTCTCCTGCTTTAACGCCTCGTTCCGAATTTTGGAGGTCATTTGATCATTTGGGCAAACTGTTGTCAAACATGGGCAATCATATGATTTTGTGCCAGGAGACAGGAGCCAATAGACAAAGGGCACCTTACAAAGAAATCGCGCATCCGAAAACATGGACGATCAAGCGGTCCTTGCTGATGTGATGGGGTAGGGGGCACAACAGAACCAGGATCGTGGCTTTATTTTAAAAGTCGTTTTTAAAGAAAGGAAAAAATTTCTTTTCTCGGCGAGTAATTGGCTATCAAGATTGCTTTGGGTCTCATCCTGCTGGTAGTCCAGCAAAACTCCCGATGAGGGAGCCTGCACTCGATGAGGTGTGCGAGGATCGGGCCCACTCTGGCAGATCAGAATTGTTATAGAAATTATGTATATGTAAGACATAGATACACACATACTTCTTAAAATCAGACAAAGAAAACAACTCCCACGTGTGTATTCGACCTTGCAAACTTTGCAGACGTAATGCTAGGGAATAAGCAGGGGTGCTTGTCCAGCTGCGTGCTCAGGATCGGGCCCCTAAATCTGTGCGTGCGAGAGGGAAAGCGAGACAGCAGTGAGACAGAGCGGGCATGCTAAGGATACTAACATCCCATTGTAAACCCATCAGCTCTATTCCCATGATTAATGTTTGCTGAGTATTTAAAATTCGCTGTCTGGAAGCGACTGTTATCAGCGACAATGATAAAATCCTGCACTTATTTGTTAAGCTCATAAATTCACATGATTACTTATTACCCGAATTGATCCCATCTATCCACGCACTTCTCCGCAAACCCCAGCCCGGGAAGCCTGTAATGCCTCGTGTGTCTTTCAAGCTTAAATTAGCAGAATGGCACAGCTACTCCAACCACACTTAACTATGGCTTAACCTGCTATAATTTTGTACACGGCTGTCTTTGATCTTCAGATCTATTATCACCTTTCGTACATTTTGCCCGAGGGTAACCGCTGCGTTTGAGTTAGTCATCCAGGGTGAATTAACTATTGATTTTACAGGTATTTCCTAACGTGTTCCTGCTTCCCCTCTACCTATAGGTTGCAACGAGGCAGCTTTGCTTTGCTTTGCTTTCTTCCTCAGGCCCAGCGATTCCTTGCCTTTGTTTTGTTCTCCTTTTCACAGCTGGGCAATTGCATCTCGGTGCTGGAATTCTCCGAAAATATAGGCAATTTTAAAATGTTATGTGTGGCATCAAAAGGGAGCGTTTGCTGGCCAGAAGGCTGAGGGAAGGGCGCATTCAGCTCCTTCTGCGGTAGCCCGGTCTCTCTGTCGTGCGTTAGAGAAGTTCTATCACATATGGATGGGGACGGTGTGCGTTACCTTTTCTACCGTTCCCGTAGAGAGGCCAAAACGTTTAGGGAGCATCGTACTTTGCTTGGCCTTTACTGCTTGAGCAGGATTTCAGTGATTTGGGATTCCCAGTAATTACCTGTGTCTGGGTAAGTCCTAATGAAGCTGCCAGTTCAGCTCTCTCTGGAAGTGCCAGGTACTGAGTCTGCTGAAAGCGATGATTTAAAGCCTGGAGTTGTAGACTAGAGTAAATGGTTCGAGGCTTCCGAATCTTTTTCCCTTTTCCATTGAATCTGATTTCACCGTTTTCAATCACTGTGGTTTTTTGCTGATCTGCAAGCAAAACAGCACAGCTGTAACATCACCCTCCTTAGCTACTCAACGCGGGCATTTTGGCTGCCACGGCTCCCCAAAACCCGGCAGCCTGCCCCGACGCCGGTTCAACACCATCGCGTACACACGGGCTCCGGCTCCTTAAAGGCACGCCGCGACCCACGCTGCTGCTTGGGAGCTACCGGGAGAAAAAAAAATAACAACTGTCTGGGCATAGTGATAGTGGGGACGCTGCCTTTCCCCCAGGGGAGAGAAAAAAAAAAAAAAATTTTAAAATAAAGTGCACTGCTAGCTTCGTGAAGGGATGCCTGGTTCCAGGGCCATCCAGGTTTTACCCAGCTAATTGACTTCGCGTCGCCAGTTTGGTGGTCAGTGAATCACCAGTCCGAGACTTTTAACAA